TTCAAATGCCACGAATATAAGCAAGATATAGTCTTGAGATTGTGTATTTGTGTAATTATAGCTCAAGCAAAAAAAAAGAGTTTCACTTTAGGATATTTTATATTACAGTGGCTAAAGAAGAGCAGCAATTAAAAAGACAAGAAGTGCCTATAAAGCAAAAATTAGACTTTTAATGTAGAGGAATTGCATATTCATTACAAAAAATTACATAATTTCAACAATAGAATGTGGAACAAAGTGATCACTCAGATAAGATTATGATGCATCTTGATAATTTTATGTTTACTTTTTATTTAAAACGCAGCAGCGTTATTTCAGTGAGTCATACAGTAAATTATGTTGATCTATTGTGTTTAAAATTCGCTGGGGAGAAGGATATCTGGGTTTCTCTCCTGGACCTGTTGCCTCCACAACCCCGTTATGAAGTAGAAGATGCAGACGGAAATGCTCCGTTTTAAGGTCTCTGATCTTTTTCTTTAATCACCTCCTACTAAACAACTAAATGGTCAAAAATGTCCCTAAGGTGTATGAAAAACCCTTATTGTTAAACAGTAACATCAAACTAAAAGATCATAATGTGCCAGAATAAAACCGTGATGGCAGCTGAAGTTATACAAATCAGCTACTGATGATTTTACGACCTCAAAGAGATGATTATATGAATCACCCAGTTTTCAATTCAAAGCAATATGCTACTATTATTAGAGAGAATTGGCAATATCTCTTAGGAAAAGAAAAAGTCAAACTGTCTCTGTAATTCAGAAGACAGATCAATTTCACATATTGCTGCATTCTGTGGTCTGTCCTCAGCAAATATTGCCTCCTTGAGGAGATTGATTACCTCCACCTGTGTGTCACGCTGCATACTGAGCGCGGCTGCTTCAGTCATTCTGTGCAGCTCGGCCAGACGCAGCTGTGTGAACTCACATCGAGAAACGAACCATATTTGAAGCCTGAAGACATCAAAAGTCTAACTTTTCTACTCTGATTGTGACAGTTCTATAGAAAAATGGGCCCATCAGATTCTGACAGCAAAACTTTATGTTATTAGTATTAAAATAAACAAAAAAATGCATTACAATTTGATTTAATTTAAAAAAATGCAATTATTACTACTTTATTAGTTTGAAACAAAAATTGCAAATAAGATTAGAAATACTTTATTTTAAAGAATGTGATCTATAAGGGAAAATTGTTAAAACTTTAACTGAAACAAGTTTAATTTTCTAACTTCTCTAGTGCTGATAGTGACCCACACATGCCCTATCAGGTAATTTATACCTAATTAAAAGAGTGGGTAGGACTTGTTTATCTGTTATCGGCAAATGAATACACAACTGGAGAAGCACACAGCAAGTGGATTAGAGCCAAAATAAACAGTTTCCTTTGTTTTAGGTTAATGATGACACATGAACAGCGAGGATTAATGAGGTGCAAACAAAGATAAAGTTTATACAGTCTGGCTACTTGTTCAGTAGGATAAATAAATTGTTAACTTTCAATACTTTAAAACCATCTTTCATCAAATAAAGCAGGTTTGTTTTGTCTGCAGATTAAAAAATAAAGAAAAAGAGATAACCAGTCTACAGCTACTGTTGATATTATTCTGTAGCAATGAAGTAATAAAAGAGTGCTGCTGGAGTGGCGCACTTCACCAGTCATTACTGTTTTTGTGAGTGGTCTGTTAATGGGGNATCTGTAATGTAGCCACCGCATGTGACTGCAGGACCGGCGTCTTTAATCTCCACAGGACCAGATTGCACTTCTCCCGAACCTGAACCGTCATGATTAAAATCAGCCACTCCAGTTTATCAGAACCTCCGAGACGACCTTTACAAAGAGAGGCGTTGCTTTAGTAAACAAAAGCAAAACTCACAACTGACTGAGCTGTAATCAAAAAAAGTTGTAAATTTCACCTGTGGGTTTGTTCAGATTATGTGCTCATTTTATTTCTGCTAAATCAAAGATAAATTTCAGTCTTGGTAATTTGACTGATGAAGAACAGACTTGCACCATGAACGTGCATAAAATATCAACTGACTCTAAACCAGGGCTATTCAACTGGTGGCCCGCGGGCTGGATGTGGCCACCAAACAATTTAATTTAAAATTTTATACCTTAATTTAATATAAAAAAATTTTTTAATTATTTGTAAATTTATGAATCATTGCAACAAAATAAACAGATTCAAAAGGTAAAAAATAATACCAGCACACTGCCCCCCGGGGATCGCCGGCCCCTGAGCTGTTGGGTTTGAGTAACCGTGACCCCCAGAGTGATTTAGTTAAATAGACCTTCTCTAAACTGTGCATTATTTCATACACTTTGATCAAACTTCACCATTCTTCTTTTTCAAATGTCAGTTCTTTTAATCTGTCCTCATATGACCTGAGCTATAATTCAGGTTCTAGCTTTATTTGTCTTTGAATCTTCTGTAACAATTTAACAATGTCCGTCTCCAAATAAGGTGACAAGAATGGAACACAACGTTCAAGATGAGGTTTAATCAATTTTATACAAAATAAAAATGATGACTCCTTGTAAATTTTAGTTTGATCAGCCCTAATGCACAAAAAATAATAGCCTGTCAGCTATTAATCATTATAATAATCATAACAAGGACTTCTACTTCTTACATGCAAGGCCAAGGTGACAATGAAAAGTAAAAATAATAAAAAAAGGCACATGAAGGTGTCCTCTAATAATATTTAACCTTTGACTTTTTATACAAACTGTTTCCAATCTCTAAGAAAATCTTCCAGCCAACCATTTATTTTACAAACACATTCCTAATTTTATGTGTTTGTACAGTTTAATAATCTGGAATAAAACACAGAACTGAATATGGTTTTATTTGTACATTATCCTCCTAATTTACGACACTACATTATCTGTATGTTATTAAAGTTATTAAAGGCTTTGTGATTTTAATTGTTAAGTATTAATATAAAAATCACATTTGCTGAAATCTAACATTCACATTTTCTCCTGTAGTCAGTCATCACCTTTTTATCCACATAGTTTTGTAGCTCTGCTGTTTGCATAAATGACCGAAGACAGAAGGGAAAGTCTTTGCCCAGAAATACATCGTCTGCATTCGTCAGCTTCACTAGAAACCCTAAATTATCCATAAAGGAATAAATGTTAAATCCAGTTGGTGTCGAGACTTAAAGGAGGAAGAACAAAGATTTGGTATTCTGAGCCTGCGAAGCATGAATTTGACTTGAACTGGTGTTTTAGATGTGCATAAATAAGCCTAGACGCTGAACATTTAGCACTCTGTACTTGTCCTCAGGCAACAACAAGGAAGAACTGGATCCGTATTTCTCAGGAACTTTTTGTTTGTCTTCTGTTGATTATGTATTTTATGTATTTATGCTCGTCTGGAGTTCAACAACAAAATGTTCACCACAAGCAAGCAAGCAAGAATAACCTCTAATTCTTTTTCTTTTAATCTATGCCCTGCTTCACGTAGGCGTTTGTTTCTCCTGGAGTACTTTTTTATGCAGAAGACTGGACGCAGTAACCTTTTCAGTATTAACATGATCCCTGAGATTTCAGTGAGAGCTTGCATGATGCCAGAAATGCCTGGGAAAACAAATTACACCCACCTCTGCAGGCCTGTGCAGCTTTTAGCCCGTTTAACTCCCAAGTTTTCATTTCTTTTAAGCCCACACGTTTTGCTGCATGGCGGAGCGTCACCGCGTTTAGTGCACGCAACAAACAGACCAACAAATTCTCAAAGTGAGTCAACGGTTCTGAATCATCGTTTCTGCCAGCGAACCTCCACTCACTGCTGACTGAGTGCCATTTTCTACCATCTTCTAATCATGTGTTATTTACAGAGCAGTACTTGTTTCATGAACTGCAATTAATTCCAGTGATACAAACTCCCAGTCATGGGAACAAGTGACCCGCATGGTTAAGTGATTTATAAACTGAAAGAGCCAAGTGATTCGTGGTTTCTGCCTCTTTTAGAGCTCTCGCTAAGAGACTATAAACCGTTTTCTGCAAACAATCCCGAGATAAACGGAGAGATTATCACCTCCTGGATGCTACGGGACTTTAACATGAAGTGAAGTGACTGAAGAAGGTCAAGTAGCTTAAGATGAATAATTTTTTAATAAATAAAAAAGGTGGAAATGACAAGTGAACCAGGGAAGCACATCTTACTGTTGAATGATCGTCAAAAAAAAAAACACAACAAAAACTTTTTTATGAAGTTTTTCTCCAGGTTTTTTATGGAGCCAGTTTAACAGTTGGAATTTGTGTACAAATTACAGCATCATAAGAAGAAATCATCACATCCTTTAATGTTAACTATCCATTCGTAAAGCTTTAAAGGCCCTGCGACATGCCTATCCTTCAAATATAAAAAGGTCAAAGAAAACATCTTTATACCAAAGAAAATTGACATAATACATGTGATTTTACCCATTTTATCACATAACTGGCCTATTTCCTTTTCAACTTAGTTCAGCCAAAGTGAAACAGGAAGTGACATCAAAGGGGAACTCTTTAATAAAATAAACTCCCTGGTCTTTGTTAATTAAAACAATATTATTTAAACTTTAACTCTTCTTCATCTCTGATAGAAACTCAAAATAATCTAAAGAAACATCAGATTCTTCTCTACAGTCTATGTTGTTGGCTGTTGTAACAATGCTCTGTTTACATGCTGACATTCCCCTTTGACATCACTTCCTGTTACTTCATATGCAAATATCTCAACAACTGTTCATCTCAGCGGTGTGAAATTTCTTTTGCAATATGCTATCAATGCTCTCTTTTCAAAAATGCATTCATATTTATTACAAAAATTTGATGTCACAGGCACTTTAATAGTAGCTACACTCCATTTACAACCTGCCCACTACTGTCATCACTCAGTGGATAACACAATCACCCCAGGCAATTTGAACCTTTACTGTCTGACAGCAAGAAAAATGCACACCTCTTTGTGTTTCTGTGTGTGAGTGTGATCATAGCTCAGACTGTACCGTGAGACTGGTCCTCCATATGTCCCAGAGTTTCGATCTGCTCCACCAGGTCATTTGAGTTCCACTGACTCATGCCCAGAAGAATGGCGCTCTTCCCTTCCATAACATCTGCTGGGACACACACAAACACACACAGTTCACACATTTTACAAAAACTGATGCAAAAACAACAATTTTGTTCCCCAATTTGAATATTGACTATAATATAAATCCCTTTTGTTTTTGAAGCTTAAACCAAAACAACAAAAGGTCCTTTTATTTGAAATTACTTTTGCTCCACTCTTATTTCTTTTCTTTTTTTTGAGTGTGTTTGTTTTTCAGGACAGTTTGCACCTCCAAATTGGATCCCTTTGTATCTAACGCAGTGAAGATGGGTGTGGTTTTATTTAAATTTGGCCCGTCGAGCTGTTGCCTCGCTGTTTATGCCAAGTGCATACACAGCTCAACATGTGGCAAGTAAACAACGCCACAAAATGCCACATGGCAGACGACAACAGGGACGTGGCAGCATGCAGTATATTTCATACGGCCTGTAACGTCAGGGGGACTAGAAAAGACTATTGTGGTTCAATCTACACAGTTATTTATGATAAAAGAGGCATTAAAGCAAAAAAACAAAAATAAAATAGAAGAGCTTGTAAATACAGTGGGGAAAATAAGTATTTAGTCAGTCACCAATTGTGCAAGTTCTCCCACTTAAAAAGATGAGAGAGGCCTTTAATTGACATCATAGGTAGACCTCAACTATGAGAGACAAAATGTGAAAAAAAAATTGAGAAAATCATTTTGTCTGACTTTTAAAGAATTTTTTTGCAAATAATGGTGGAAAATAAGTATTTGGTCAGTCACCAATTGTGCAAGTTCTCCCACTTAAAAAGATGAGAGAGGCCTTTAATTGACATCATAGGTAGATCTCAACTATTAGAGACAAAATGTGAAAAAAAAATTGAGAAAATCATTTTGTCTGACTTTTAAAGAATTTTTTTGCAAATAATGGTGGAAAATAAGTATTTAGTCAGTCACCAATTGTGCAAGTTCTCCCACTTAAAAAGATGAGAGAGGCCTTTAATTGACATCATAGGTAGATCTCAACTATTAGAGACAAAATGTGAAAAAAATATTGAGAAAATCATTTTGTCTGACTTTTAAATAATTTTTTTGCAAATCCATCCATCCATCCATC